ATATTGTTATTCTTGAAGTTATTAAATTTTATGTTCACAATATTATAAAAATAGCTGGAAGTTAATAGTTCTGCACGTGTAAGTCTATTTGAGCTTTTTTGTAGTCTAAATTTACCTACTACTATTAGAATAATTAAGTCATATATTAGGTATTAGGCAGAACTGCTGTTCTGTAGAAATATGGTTTAATACTCTATCTATATAACAGTGAGAATATTACATTTGTGCTCAATTTTGAGCGTATTGTGTACATATAATATTAATTACAAGTAAAGAAATAGAAATTAGTGAGAATAATATAATATCTAAATATAAATAAATCTAATAGTAATAAAATTTATTTAAATTTGTGATTAAATATATTTCCGTATTTTACGATTTCAAGTTAGAAATTGATTAATTGAATATTTTATATACTGATGCCTGGAGGTTTGTGAAAAAATATGATGTATAAATATATAAATTATGATGTAATTTGTTTACTATTTTCGATTTTCTTGAATATAAAATCGACTATTTTTATACTGTAAGTTCATTATTATCGTCCATCATTGTATGTACCTATTATAATTGTATAATCGTGCATAATAAATACTTAATTCGAATTAAAAAAGAAATAACTCACTGAGATTGACTATTATCTGAAGTTAGATACATTGAAGCTTAAGTGATCATTGCTCAAAAAGATAACGAAACCACATCCTTACCTCTTAAGAAATAACGTCAACTTTCCTTGAACATGAATGCCATTCTCAGTACTTACATAGATCGCAAAATGTTTCAAGTAAAATGGATATAATAACACCCATTTCATTTTCATCATCTAAAGCTCCACTGGAGCTCTTTCTAGCGGTAATTTAATCAAAATCTCACTAAGTAGAGCTGGATAGTTATTTATTTAAATTTTATAAAAATCCATTCAAATATTACAATTATATCCTTATACTTCCAAAACGTTTTAAAATCCCTTATGTCCTTTTTTTATATTAAAACCTGCGGGAAAGAATTACAGTATTTAATTTTCTTAGGTAAACTTCCGTTACTTACACATAATATTATATAAAACACAATTATTTTATGGTACTTACTCAACTTTTAATAATAAAATGTATATCCAATATTATATTTGAACAAAATAGTTCCAAATTTCTCTTAATAGAATTTGTGTGTTGTAAATATTTTACTTTAATATACTTTAACAACTTCTGAGTTAGCCCTTGTAATGGACGGATATAACACTAAAGTATAAAATAAATCCTAAATATACACGAAACTGCTTTCCACTCTAACTTAGTTTCAAGTCATCGTCTGTTCAATTTTTTTATTAGATTAATATTTTTTAAACATTATTACTAATTTATTGAAATTGCCTAAATTTTAAGTCATTATATATCTTTTAAATCGAAGGATCACAACAGTAAATTGATAAATTATCTTTATTGTGATTATTATGTTACGTAAGTAGGTAAATAAAAATAAATAATATTTCCAAAGTTGCGCTACACTAAACGACCTACAATATATACAATATATTTATTATAAAACTTACAATGGTACTAGCACAAAAAAATACCACAATAATTAGAAGGGAATTACTAACAAATTATTGCTATAGAGGGTGGTATAATAGCCCCGCCGAGTTGGATGGCTCTCATTAGTGTACGCTGGGCTAGCGTTGAGCCCGCCTCGTTGTAGAGCCTGCATTATTCATGCGGACAATATTGCTCTGCCACCGCATCTACAGGTACAGGCGGGAACAAAAGAAAATTAACACAAAATTAATGACAAATATTCCATCTGCGGGTTGTACAGTGTACCTTGCTATTGTATTATAACCAGTAGTAGTTGAGGGTGTTTTAGTTTACTTGTCTTAATAAAACATATACTTATTATTGATATATATATATATATAAATTAGTAAAAACTATATTTTTTAAAATACATGATATAAATAGAATCATCATATAAATACAGACTCTTAAGGGAGTATAGGATATTGTAAGTAATGAGAAATAGCGTCCTTGTTGGTCGCAATATATTATGTCAGATCGACTATGGTTAATTCCTGTATGTAACTTAGTGCGACGGGCCAACTAACATGACATCCTATCATCATCTAATACAGTGCAATAATGGTATGGTGGTCCCCGCTATGATATGGCAGGAGAACACTTTATTAAACCATTATCATCCATTTAAAAACAACAACAAACAAACATTAATACAAATGTTTGTATTACGTAGGTATTGAACCCACGATTATCAGCAAGTGAGGCAATGTGTTAAACTGCTTCGTCACGTAATATAACAAAAAAACAAACTGCCACATATCATATATCATATATAAGTGATTTACTTTTTCAAAGAAATAAAATTAATAAAAAAATGTCTGGCTTTTTTATTTAAGATAAATACCGTATGTGTTATACAAATCTATTTATTTATGGTATATTGTAACTGGCAGCAACAATGATAATTTTCAACTTAGGGAAGTATAATATTGTTGATAAATATAACATTGTTGGCTTGTAGACTCGCGGGGTGTGGTGTGGATACGAACAACGTCAAAATTACATTACTTATTCAAATTAAGTATATACTCTCAATTGCGGTAGTCGTGTAGTTTATAGGTCAATTATATACAGAAGACATATTCATATTCTATACTGATGTGAGGCTTCCACGTTTTTGTCGGATATACTATATGTACAGGTAAATAGCTATTACCCACGATTGATAATCTTACATTAAATACTGCTATATATACTTGTACTATAAAAATAAATTTACGATATATAAATTCTTTTACGCATTGATTTCTTGTATATATTGCGGGTCTGAGAAAGAATTTGCCGAAATACCCACGGGAACGGAAAAAGAATTTATGGTGACATTAGTACGCACAATTCTATTTTTAGCACTCGTAATATTGTAGTTATAACACTAGAAGTTCCCACGACTTCGTATGCATGGACATTTCTAAATCGCGCCCTATTTATTTATTTATATAACTTTCAAGCACACCGTACAAAAAATAATAGTAGTTTTGACAGACTAGGTATTTTCTATCAGTCAACCATAGGTAGTGCTGAGAATAATTGATGAGAATTATAATCGAATGACAACCAATAAGAAAATATGCGTATCTAGTATTACTAATATTTTGTATTATAGGAATATATAAATGTCAAATTTGTTTAATATTTTATTAAATTGGAATGCATTATTGTAGTTGATTGTACCAACTTGATCAATGACGTTTACATAGACACATACGTTAGGAGATGTGACATTTTGTACCAGGCTCGCGTACTAACATATTCTGAAAGCAATTGAACATTGGAGTTATGGTGTGGAAAGTAAAATGGAATAATTATTGTAATATTAATATATTACAATAATATATTTCATTATCTAATCCATCATATACACGATATCAATCATATTCTGCAACATACTGTTACTGTTATATTTTTTGTACAATTGTAATGACAAACAAATTGAAGGCTAATTGGTGGTAAATGGTAATCGTCGCCTATATAAATACACATGAGCAGCATTAAGACATTACTTTATCTTGTAACACTCGTAGCACCTTTCATTCATTACCATTCCGGTAGACTACGTGTAATATTCCGGTAATACTGTGCCTTCGTAACCTCTAATTTCACTGACTTATCTCTCCGCTATATTATTTATAATCTAATATTTTTATAACCATCAATACCACTCAAAAATAAACTAACATTATCCAATATTATTATTTTTTTCATTTTATGAAGAAAGTAAAATTTGTGATAACTGGAAAAAAATATTACATTATTTTTCACATTGTATATTATACCTGCAAATTTTCATGTAATTTCAGTTAAGTAGTTATTTATTTTTTCTGAAGTACGTAAAAACCCGATCACTATATATACTTCATTAAAAGTGTTAAATTCTTCAGCATACTAGTTTTTTTTCGTTTGACACACTATACTTCCTTGCAAGGTATATGAAATGTCTTGTCTAAAAACAAGTTTTTGTAACTCACCGCTTTTCTCCATTGTGCTAATTTGATTAAATCATTAAAATGTTTATCTTTTCCTATTAGTGTTTGTTTAAAAGAATTTTCTCATTTTTTGTTATTAAAGTAAAGAAATAATAATTTCTTCATTATATTTTGGCGATATAGATTATATTTACTGTAGATAAATATGTTATTTACCTTGTAGCACGATATCAAAGCTGAAATGAGTGATATTATCAAAAGCTTTCTGTGTTTGTTATATTATTGGAGATAAGAAATAGCTACTTTGACAGAGGCGGTCTATATTTCCTAGTACACGTAATATTTATATTATCTCTTCCATTCCATTTTAACTATGTGTATGTGTGTTACACATATGTAGTTAGAATGCTTTGAACTAAAGAAGGTTAATAGATATGTACTGTATATTAAAATATTAATGTTATACATTTGATATTTTATTGAGGGTGTTTTTGTTAAATGTTATGACATAAAAAATCTGCAAGTTAATATATAAAATGTAGATATAATATAAATAAAATCTATAAGAGATATTGAGCTATGTAATAAATAACAAAATAAAGAGTTAAATTAGATCTTCATTTCATTAATATCGAACCTGTATTATACTAGTCGTTAAGTTGCGACTCTGTCTACATCATTCAATATAATATATATTATATATTATGTACAATCATGTAATATAATCTACCTACACGTTAAATTTACTACGATCCGTTCCGCCGTTCATTCATGAAAGTCTACAAAGAAACAGTCAGATACAGTTTGGTGTTTATAAAATTACTATGAATTTTACTAAAGATACAGGCCAATTATATAAAAAAATCCATAAAAACGACGAAATGAGTAACATATTTATTTTTCTTTATAAATTACTATTTCATCTCTAGAGAGAGAGGAAATAAGCCAGGCGAATTGATGATGTCCATAATTGCACTGAGCTCAAATTACCTTTTTTTTGTTTCAGAGGGATTTTACTTCAAAACCAAAGGCGGTACGGAGAAGCTATCAAAAGTTTTGAGAGAGCGATTTATTTTCGACCATCAATGGCCTGTGAGTGCTAGCAAATTTAATCAGAAATAATGTACATTCCCATTTATGGAAATAATTACAAGAGTTAGAGTAGTGAAGTCAGTTTCGTAGTTATGTTATGGTTATTTCATTTTTACATTAATTAATTATTTGTATTTACTAAACCTATTTTTTACTGTATTTACTACTCCTATGCACAAATTTATATAAATAAATTTCCAACTTCCTGTAGTTTATACGTAATTACAAATATAGGCCAATTTTATTATTTTACTATTTAATTATATTTACTTTTTATCTTTTCATAAATTACTATTTTAAAAATATACTCCACTCTTCTAGTGGCATACGTAAACCTGGGAACATCACTAATGGCTGATGGAAGGCTAGCAGAAGCAGCGAGTGCACTCCGCGCCGGTTCACGAGCCGAAGGGTTCCGAGTACGGGACAGAAGAGAACATGAAGCAGCTAGAGTCTCTGCCCTGGTGCAACTTGCAGCTTTACATTCTCAACGTGGACATTGGCATAAAGCGCTGTCAGCGTATAAAGAAGCATTACAAATGCTACCTAATACTAATACACCAATAGTAGGATGGACGCGACATGTAAGAAAAAAAAATATTAATAACGCGTTTAGTAAATTATAATATATAAACGTATAGTAAGATTTGATTCTTAGATAATGCCAAAAGCAACTCTGCTTTTGTATATAATTTCAATAAAGCTTAAATAAAAATAATACCAGCTATGCTACTTCAACCATAATGAAAACCTAAATGAATAAATATGAGAACTGGCCTTTGAAAACCGTTATTTTCTTTTGTTCTGGTACACAATATAAATTTAAAACCTATTTAAGCAATCTACATGCTACTGCACGTACCGGTACAGAATAATTATTTCTAGGATATAGTTGAATTCTAAATGTCTATGTATTATTTAAATTTAAAAAAATACAAAGTTAGTTTTTGATGGCAGTTTTATATTGTAATTTACATGTTCTTCTCGCTTTTTGATATTTTTGTAATATATAAACAAATATATCTCTGCGATGTTTTGTTGCAGAACGTTTTATCAATGGCTGGAGAAATCTATGTACAGTTACAACAATGGCCACAGGCGGAGCATAGTATTCTTTCAGCATTAGCTGCCGCACCGCGTAACGCTGCTTCACATGTTACTCTAGCGCAAATAGTGGCCAGGAATGTAAGTACCTAATCAATACTAATACATTAGAAAGTGTATCTGTCTGTCTGTTTGTTACCTATGTTGTCCTAATAATCTGATTTAAAAAAAGTAAAATTAATTGTTAAATTAGATAAATGTTTGAATATGGAGTCAATCAAAAACTGTATATTATTCTCTAAAGACTTACATGCGATTTACTATTAGGTATGGGTTTTCTGCAAAATGTGTATATTACAATTTATTAAATGACATAGGTATATAAGTTTTCTTAAGGTGGCAACACGTATTTTCCTCTATCCTGATGTTTCAAACGTCTAATAGCTATTGTAATTTTTTACTCTCAGATTGGTATACCCCATATGAAGCATACTTTTCCCACCATTCTAATATAAAAAATATATTTATAAATGTATATATCCCGTGCTATTAAAATACTAGTACGACAGAAATCTGTTTGTTGTTATCTTTGTATAACGTTTCTGATTTTTCTATCCAATAAGTATACACCAGTATTGTGTACTTTATCTCCAATAGCTTCGGCGAACCATAACAAAGACGTCGAAACATTCCTCCGCCCCGTACATTTGCCACTGACGCTTACACGTCGACCGTCTCATATCTATTTTTATTTTTCTTGTTCTCTTATATAACGTCCCATATGGTTTTGCTGCGATATCAGAAAAAATGTGGGCCGTATACGATCGCGGAGTATAGCGGAAAAAATGCCATTAACGGCATTCAGTATATGTTATACTCTTACGTTACACAACCTTGTCTTCTATCTGGAGATTAAACCGCAAGTAAAAGTATATTTATACAGTATATTTATCTTTGTATTATGCCAAAGTATATAAAATTATTAGAACAATTGATTTTTGTACCATTATTATTGTATTTATAATGTAATTGAAACAAAATTACTCAGTATTGTCTAATAATAATAAACATGTATGGTTTTCCGGTCTTTGTACTGTAAGGAATGGCTTAACTTAGTGAGTTTATTAAGGAGCGATACATCACTTTTTGCGTCGGCATTTTCAACTCTAATACAACATACTCGTACACAAATTACTTGGTAACAGCAATAGCTGAGATATTAGTATATGTACTGAATATCCTGTTAATCTTTAAATATGTTAGAAATATAATTAGAAAGACATAACTGTCAACTTTTGACGGACATATTTAAATACTACGTTACATAGATAAGGCTACCGCCATCTCTCTTTTTAATTTGATTCGATATTTACTTTTCATTAGCAAAGAGTCAGTCTAAAATACAAATTTATGTATAAAAATGTATGTATTTATTTTGGTTTCCACCGAATTCGATATCAAGACTTTGTGACCAACCCATGGTGGTAAACTACTAGACCACGACTCTCAACATTTAGAAATATCATGTTTATTATATTGTTGCAGGCCAGTCGAATAATTGAAGCGGAAATGTGGTTCAAGAAAGCTTTAATATTAGCACCTAATGATCCATCAGTTAGAGATCAATTCGGTAAGCACTGCAGATTAATTAGTACCAATACGACATTCACTTCATCATAAATAATCTTGATAAATAGGACAGTCCATCAATATCACGTACGATAAAACAGTAAACCCACAAATGTATTGTGCTTTTGACATTTTGATGCATTTACTAACTACGAACAACTTAACAAGCTGCCAGCCCTAAACAGAAATTCGATCTAATTTAGGCATGTAAATTGCACTAGCTCTTCACTAGTTCCGTGCAATCAAATACGTAATTTCCTTGTCCATAGTATATAATGTATAAATATTATTAACGCAAAATAGCAGGTTCCATATATTTTCACGTTTTTGGTGGATAGCATATTGCATGTTCTTATTATAATAATTAAAATAATAATAAAACATTTTAACCTTTGATGACTTTATTAGTGACGCCGTGGAATGTACGAGTACAATGTATATAAACCAAATATAAAAAAAACAAAACAAAATGCCGCTCTAAGTTCGACGTTCTTTTTTCAAAATTATGCTTTCTATATTTTTAATGTTAAAAGACTATAATAACAAATCATAAAACACAGTAAAGGAATAAATATTAAGCACTCAATTTTACTTTTAACCTAATATATTTCCCATATATTTCACTCTCTTCTACTATGGAGAAATTCTTAAATATCTTCGTAATCAATAAATTGAACGAACGTCAGAGCTCACGGCTCTCGTCAAAAAACAATCGCCCTGGAGTTCGCGTTCAATTGTTTTATTGCAAACGATTATGCGACCCGCCCTCAGTCACGCAGCCTACGGGCAGGCCATGCCTACACCTGCAAATTTCCCCTCAATAAATTTCGTTCGTTACTAACTTTCCATTCATTTTCCGCGGACATTTTTTGCTAAACCAACTATCAAACTTATGCAAAAAAAAGTCGACCGTTATAATTTCCTACTGGAAACTAAAAAGATTTGCATCACGAACTATTATTTCCCTTATATAGACAATGCTGAGAATGTATTTCTGATAAGTAATGAAATGAAACTTATTTACAGAGCTTGCTATGTGGAAATACTTTAAAAAAAGTACGACGCTCGTAGAAAATGTGTTGATGTACTGAAAGCACTACACGAGAAATACATTAGTGTGTTATACCTACTAATAAATGCACCAGAGTTAACCTAGCTCGTGGGTTAATGCAATATTTCTGCTACAGGCAACCATACTTAGTGATAATTTCATACCGTACTTTAAAAACGTTTAATGGCAATGCAAAATAACTAGTGGAAAAGCGTAATTAGGTCAACATGTTGCTAATTCTTGTTAGATCAAAAAGCTGGAGGAGTGGGAAGTAATATGAATAAAATTTGCGTAATAGTACCAGCTATTTTAACGTATGTGTAAATGTTCTTATCATCACCGTCTGCATTACTTTCAATCAATTACCAATTGACATTACATGATTCATTTGAACTAATTATTTTTTAGTCTAAGAATATATTAAATAACTATAAATTAAACGAAGATAATTATTACGACAGTATTTATGTAGATATTGTTAGAATTATAACATATATATTATATGTACCACACTAGGTCTATTTTTGAGATCGCAACGGCGACTCCTAGAGTCAGCAGAACAGCTCGTCACCGCAGCGCAACTAGCACCTACGGACAGCGGGCGGGCTGTGTCCGCTGCACGAGCGTTGAGAGACGCACGTCGTTGCCGCTCCGCAGAAAAGTGGTACGCCCGAGCAGTACAGTTAAAGCCTGAGGTAAGGGTTGATAAATTAGCTATCGGGATATCTCATCTTCAGTAACCACCAATACTACAAATTGAAGAAACCAGTGAAATATAAACCTTCTGATAGTACAGGGTCGCTTTACTCTTCATCACCTGTGACAATATCGTAAACACGTCGACAAGGCCTTCGTAGCAATTTTATTATCAAGTCTCGGCACCATTCCACGCGAACTTGTCTTGAGCCTTAGTCAGATTGTATGGCACCCATCGCGATATTATCACCGTAGATATCCATGTCATATTTCATACACGTTCCATATGTAATTTGCAATATCTTTATGAAACTACGTATGCTGTCAAGATGTTATATTTCATGACAGACGTTGAAAGGCGATAAGAGAAAGATAATAGAGAAATCTAAAATAAGAAACTTTGTTCTTAGAATAGCTCGTCGATATTTGTACATATTTATTCTAAAACCGTATATATGATAATATCGTACACTTGAAAACACAAAAAGATATAATATTAATTGTATAAATAATAATTATGGCAGTTCTAATACTTTGCCATATAAAAATATATTTTTATTTCTATCGTAACTTACAAACATGTACGTATATTGGCAAAGATAATGTGTGTACAACATTGAGTACCTCTTGTGTTTGGTACATCCATGTAACAAGATACTAATTGACCAGCCTTTGATATATCATTTCAGGCATATTCAAGCTAAAATATTGATGTAATTACGCTTGTTAATAGAAATACATGCATATATTTGGAAGATAAAGGCAAATATTTGTCAAAGTATTATAATTTAAACGCTACGCTACGCTAAATTCAAACTGCTCTTTATTGTTCAGAAGAAAAGCTTACAGGCTGAGACTCAAAGATCACATTGAACAGACATTGACAGAAGATTATAATTAAAAACAAAATATTGAATTTATTGCTATTAAGTTTTATTCAGAATTAATTAATGTGGAGTAGATATTATTAAAATTATTCTGAAATATTACAATTTATCAAACAATAAATTCATCAAATAATTATTCTTCTCTGCGCCATTAACAATGCTTTTTGAATCTCTCCATGACAATAAATTATAATATTTTTTATTAGGATTTTGAATAGTTTTTTTCATTATAAAGTCTCAGTATTCATTATAGTTATTATTATTAAGTGATAGAACTTGCCTCTCAAACTTAAATACAAATTTATTCATGTAAGATTTATTCACATACTTTTTTTATAGCTATCATTCAATATAATTTCTGATAAGAATTACATCGTTCAGATTGTAGTTAAAGCAAATAGCATTTATATTGAACTACACAATATTTGATGTTGGGCATCATATTTGCCAGATAGTATAATATATATTTATTTAGAGGTAGGCACGTATTTTATTTTAAATATCTGTGAGGGTGTACAACTACAAGAAATAAAGTAAGAAGTCTCACAGCTAGTACTTTAATAAACGTATTTTACCTTAATTTGTTCTCCGCGTATGTAATCCGTTAATATAAGCTAAAAATATTATACTAGTATTATTATAGTAGATAGCTATATTGACGACAAAATACCAATAAAATCCCAGTATCTCAGCCATTACACTTGTCTACAGATTGCTGAATACCATTCCAATCTCGGTGCAATACTGCATCTAAACGGCAAATATGCAGCGGCGGCGACGTCATACCGGAGAGCTCTGCAACTACAACCAAACGATGACGTCACAATGACCAACCTAAAGAGAGTACGATCTCTAATTAACAAACAACGCAGAAAATAATTTATTAAGTGAATACACTGATAGAAAACACATCAAATAGAATGTCAATTGCCAAAATTAAGGTTAAATCAGAATTCTTTTCTCTACTATTTACTGACATTATAATATTAATATATATATTGGTTTAAATACTGCCTTAGACAACATGGTACGTAGATAAAACTACTACAGTTATAACTTCTAAATAATGCTAATAGTACAGCCAAACGGAATTTCATAAATGAACTACATAAGGACATATTTATAATGTTAAGGATATAAACCTTTATCTCATAAACTTATTGCATTGAATTATCTATTCAGCTACACTTAAATATATATATTTATACATATATATTTCCAAGCACAATGGTGAATTCTGACAAGTTTATTATTTATATACCTATTACTTACAGTATATGAACAAATAATTTTATCATACACCATAAGGGTTCTAAATAAAGATTGTACGAAAGGGTCTTGAAACAACGTTAAAAAAGTAGGTAGTTAGAAATTTATTGTAAATAGATCATAAATAATAAGACGATTTTATACATGTGCAGATATTAATCTATATTTTAAAAAGTTATTTCCCATAATTTATGAAATTGTTGGGAACTGTACTCGTATAATTTTTATTTTGTCTTCCATAAAAAATTTGCATTGCCGTTTCTTTGATTCTTGTTGGCGAACGGTGAAATGTTTAAAGTTATAGTAAAAAAGAGAAGGCTAGTGTTTGTCTGTTGTACCTCTAATAACGTTAAATTATACCTAATAATTCCCTTTGTGGCGAGGTGTTTAAAAACGTAGACAATTTTTAATTGAATGCAGACACTATTGAATCTAAATAATTGTTTTTAGGCAATTTATTATTTTACTGTTACCAATTTAAAATATCTGTGATGAATACAATTAAAAAGAATAACATCAAAAAGAACTATTCAAGAGTTAGATAATAACTCAAAATGATATTAAACAATATCTTATTTCAACGAATCGCCTATAGACTGTGTTATTTTACTATGATTAAGATAGGCAATAAATACTTTATTTTTCAGTGGAGTTAATCAATTATATGTATATTATTATATTATGCTTTTTGCTATTATTAAACTTATTCTAAATTTCTTAGTATGTCCACTAGTTTAACACCATGTTCTTATTGATACAACGTACTCGAACTTTGTGATCTTACATTTATTATGATACTTTTGTTTTTGCGTAAAGTCTGAAACATATCTATTTGATCTTTGTATAGATAGTACTCACACATTGATTGTTAATATCTTCGTAAGTGCTACAATTTGTATAAAGTATTGTTGTAAATAATGTTTAAGTGGCATATTTATATTGTAAATGTAATAATAATAAAAAATATTTTATTTTTGTCGATTTCTTCTCACACCTGTGACAATAAATGTAAATTACGCTTTGTAGTAATAGTTAAATGCCAAAATAATACCGAAAATTATTTTCTTCAATCTTCATATATCGTTTCATAAAGCTAAGTTCAATAAATGTCTGAACATAAAAAGAATTACTCTTTTATCATAATGCTCATTAACATATTATTTGAGAGAGACGTAACAGAAACCACGACATCTAAAAACGTTTTCAATATCCGATACACCAGTCTTTATTATTAATAATATCAGTGGCACGGTTTTACATATGAGTTAAATACATCGTAAATTTGTAACTTCAGAGCGAGAATAAATACATGCGAAATAGAAGCCATTTTTGTATACCATGTGAGTCAGAAAAGTGTTGCTATTTTTGTTTTCTTAATTTAATAAGTGATGTCAGTCACAGTCACTATTAACCAGTATTTTATTCAATCATGTTCACATATTACTACTTTATTTTACTTATTCTATTTTACTTTTTATGGAGTTACATAAAAAGTAAAAGATTAAGTGTAATAAAAAGATAATACAATTATTTAATAATATTTCTAAATAATTTAGGTTGATATCGAACCATTTTTCTGATAACACTAGTAGAAATCTGATATAGAAATGGCATCAAATTTGTAAATACATAGAAAGTTTCTGTACAAATTCTCTATTTTTATGATACATAAAAATTATCAATTGTCATGTCAAAACAAATAAAAACATGCTCAAAATTCTTTTTCCAATCTATACCATTTACTTCACCTTATTTTGATTATCGGATTTTTTCCTTTAATTTAGACTATACTAAAATGTATGAGGTAAAACATATGAATATGACAATGGCAATATTATTCGAGTTGTTTATGTTTATTTCACGTATATATAATAACAATAATGATTTAGTTATTTTCGTAAATCTAAATATAGATATGACCGGTATATTTTTCCACAATATCTATTGTATATTATTGTATCATGGCAAATAGCAATCCGACATCGACTTATCTTAATAAATACAATACTTGTTAATATTTTAGTTCTAGTATACAGATATATAAATTTGCATATATTTTGTAAAGTATGTAACAAACTATTTATCATATCACTTTTATTAAGCGTTGTTTAATTTTCGAAGTTTATTATTATATGGGTAATTATCTACTACATACTGCATTTTACTGTACTTCCATATAATATTTGCGTAATAACAGTTGTCTTGTACCTAAAGAAATAGGCAGTTTGTATAAATGAAAAGGAATTGTAATCAATATTGTTTTTATTGAGTAGTAACGTATAAGCATGTATATTTATCGCGTTATGCAAGTAAACCTGCAAATTCCCAAAGTGATATTATATGTTGGTAATTTTGTAAATAAAAAGCTTCAATATTTTACTGTTTGTATTTATTTATGACCTATCCTAAATTATCATAATAAATCAGGATCTTTTTTATCTTGTAGAAAAATTTACAATAGATCGTCCCTCCGCCAGATAGTGCGAGAGGCTATATGGGATTCTTTCCCACTAAAAAACCACACTGTGTACCTACGAATGTCATTGCCAAAGCGATCCAACTAACTAATACAATATATATATAGAGACTCGGCAACTTAATATGAAGCCATTATAATTATACAAAGTACATACTATCTTTACAGGGGTAAGTAATAAATAACAACTCATGGTACATAACACTCCTCGGGTAGTGTACCTATGTAGAAAGTGGACATGGACATTCATTTTCATTATCATCATCATCATTACAACCGTTACCCCATAAAACTAGACATTATAATATAAAGTACTTATAAGAATATATTACAATATTCATACACTAGTCCAAACTAAGTTCTAATGTAAAGACTATGTATCTAAAATATGTAGTGTAAAAATAACAAAGAATAAAAGTAGCTAATGATGTTAGGTACTTGGGGTGTGCTAATTTATTTCTCTATGCAATCCAAGCTGAAAAACTCGCCGTACCACCTCATTACCAAACAACAACACCTTACCTAAATAATTATAGTATTTATTTCTTGAACAAATATTTTTTATTTTATGCGTATATAAAATAAAAAATATTTGTTGAAAATTAATCTTAAACTTATTCGATAAAAGTAACAATTTGTTTTACAGTTTTTTTTTTTATAAAAATGTTAATTCCATCAGAGCTTTAAATAATTATGTAAAATATATAAAGAAAACAAACAAAAGTACCTACTAGTACGAGTATATAAATATATTGTACAAATCAGAACATTAAATTGATGTGATCGTAAATAATTAGGACTACCTAATGTTAAATAAGCATTTTAAGTCGAATACGATCATAAAAAAGCTTTCTATTATTTGAAAGTACACAAACAAACACTACAAATATACAATACTCAGCTGGAAGTGTTTTTTAACATAACATTTACCGGCTATACTCGTATAATATGTAATTTATTTAACAGTAGAAAAGAATGCTTCTTTAAAAAATGTAATAGTCTTTTGATGAATGAAAAAAAAATCATCCCTATTCTTGTGACGTCCCAAAGCTACAATAAAACTTACTTTAGCGGCTGATACGAAAAGTGATTACATTTTTTGCGAACGATAGAACGAGCTTGTATCGTGTGGTATTTTTTGTGTTGCCCGCGTCGGAGCATGTGCTGCGGGGAAAAAGACACGTCAAATAACTTGGAAAAAAGGCACTTAGCCTCACACACTCCCATCTTTCCTACGAGTCGGCAGTCGCCTGTGCTTTTCAGTAATTTCCCTGGAAGACATTATTTTCCATGCTTAGCGCTCACCCCGGTGATCGCCATTTTGCTTTATCTTTCTTTCCCCTTGTGTTTCTTCTCGGCATATAATGCCTTTTTGTTTTATACCTTTTATGGTTTGTCGTGTAACGTTGTTTCACTTAATACACCATCTTACTGTTTGTTTCTTTATTCTATTTTCATACAAGGTAGGAGTGAAATGTAGATATATATGAAATGTATTATGTAATTAGGTTCCAGGATATTCACGATATTGTATTAATACTTTTTTATTGTATATTTCTTTGTTTTCTTAATTGTATACTTTTACTATTTTACTTGTAAGATATTAGTGTAAACGTTAGTAGTCATTTGTGTTAGCCTAAAATAGGGACAATATAAAATAAAAATCTACATGACTAATTACAATATTTACTATAAATATACCGCGTAAATTTTGCGTGTGTCCATTCATCATCATAAATCTTCGCATTTATAATATTAGTGAAATTACAGCATTGTTATGGTTTTTCTATAATAAGCAATATAATTTAAATTAAAAAACATCCCAGTGTCGAAGAATGCCGCAAATATTTCGATTATGGTGCATACAAAGTTCCTAAAGCTTTTTTTCAAAACTGCAACTGTTATTTATAATAGTCATGTTGACTAAAAAGTAAATGTTAAAGAATCTAGAAAACCTTTGCAAATAGATATTAATAGAAATAATGTAATTGAAAGCTCATACATATATATTTTTGGTATTATACTTTTAATGAAATATGAAGTGAATAGATAGATACTAAACTAACACAAGTACATAAATATATGAATAAATGTATTAAATAAATTAAACTAGAAATCTAATAATTATTAAAAGGTATTACTGTAGTTTTAATGTCAATTTATTTTGT